CAGCTCTAGATGCATGCACCCAGATACAGTACACAGCTCTAGATGCATGCACCCCTATACAATATACACTGTACACAGACAATGCACATCCCTACTCCTGGTCAGACTGGTTCCCATGGGGTAGAGGTGTGCAGGGAAGAGGTCTCAGCGAACCAAGGAAATCAGCAGGTTATGGCTGGAGACCCACAGTCTGCTCTGCGATGCTAACGCTGGCATCGACCCTGGGCTATGATTGGTGATTTAAGAGGACTCTGGGAGAATCTTGCATGTGCATGCATGTGCATGCATGTACATATGTGTATGATCTCCTTAAATGTTCAAATAATGTAGGTTGCTCCTAGTTTGGTTTCTTGTTGCTGCGCTAAAACACTGGCCACAAATAGCGGGTGGGGAAAGGCTTTATCTGACTCGTGTTATAGTCCATCATTGAGGGAAGCCAGTGAGGCAGAATCTCAAGGCAGAGATAGAATCTGAAACCATGGAGCTGCTCACTGACTTGTATTTCTCTGACTTATTTTACTCTGGCTTGCTCCCCTGTCTTTCATGTAAAGCCCAGACCCACCTGCCCAGGGGTGACTTTGCTCACAGTGGGCTACCCCTCCCCCCACATCAATCAGCAATCAAGATGATGCCTCCAGTCTGATGGAGGGAGTTCTTCCCTTGAGGTTCCCTCCTCCCAGATGACCACCATTTGGGCTAAATTGCCCCAAACTAGCCAGCATACAAATTGGACATTTATTAGTAATCTGCAAATTTTGCTTCACATTTTTTTCCCTTTCTCACTTCTTTTTCCTTCTGCTTGAAATCCAGCGAGGCTGATGAGGCCGAAGACCTCCCACACTGCCACCCTTTTCTCTCTCCAGCACCAGTTTGTCCCAGGTTGTTTCTCTGGGTTCTTTTCTAACTATTCCCTCTCTCTATACAGGGCCCGCCTGGAGCACCTGGTGTTCAAGGGCCCCCTGGCCCTGGAGGCCCTCCGGTAAGCCAGGCTTGACTTGCTCTCCAAGAGGACGTTGGATAGCATTCTCAAGGGCAGAGAAGTCCCTTTCTCTGTCCAAGTCCAGGGTAAAGCCTCCAGAGACAGGAAGGTTCAGGAAGCAGATGCCTCTAAGCTGCTACACTCCCAGGCTCTTGGATCCAGTGATTATAAATGGCATACAGCCCGCATAACACCTTGGTGCCTTCCTGTGACATGGCATAGGGGGTGTGTCATGACCTGAATGTGTCATTCAGGTGTATCTAACTGATTGTGGGCTAGCCTCAGAATACAGGATACCTAGGGCAGTATTTGTTAACATTCTTACCCCTTGTCCTTTAAGGGTCAGTTGGGAAACTGTCCCCAGACCAGGTCCTGGGCAAGGTAGAGCCAGCCATGGGCAGAGGGTGGTGAGTCCTGACAAGTAATTGGCCGTGGGTGTACATGACAGTGAACTCCGCTGCAGAGCAGACAAGCTGTAAGGTCACTCATCAGTTGCAATAGGGGACAATTCTACCTTTTACAGTGGCTGTCAGGGAATATGGTAGACACGCTGAGGTACTCTTCTTCGGGCCTGAAGTGGCCTGATTCTGTGCCAGGGATGGCATCAGGGCAAGACTCTAATCTCAGATTTTCCTTTTCAGGGTTTACCTGGAGAACTGGGCTTCCCTGGAAAGCCCGGGCCCCCTGGTCACATGGTGAGTGAGTTCTTTCCGCTTATTTCAACTGGGCAAAGGTGTCTTACATTTGTTTATACTGCAGAGTATTGCTTTAACTAACTGTGTAAAGGTGTTCATGATGCATTTGTTTAATTACGTAATTATGTGTTATTTATGTAACTAATGTGATTATGTTATTAATGATGTAAATACGTGTTTTACTTTGCCTGCCTAAAGCACCCAATTGGTCTAATAAAAAAGCTGAATAGTTAAGCAGGAAAAGACTATGTGGGGCTGTCTGGCAGAGAGAATAAATAGGAGGAGAAATCTAGGCCTGAGAGGATTGAGAGGAGAGAATGAGAGAAGGAGGAGAGAAGGAGGCAGATGCCCGAGGCCAAAAGTCAGGTAACTGCCAGACAGACAGACGCAAAGACAGCAGGAAAGTAAGACATACAGAAAGAAAGTAGGAAAAGGTAAAAAGCCATGAGGCAAAAGACAGGTAAACAGGTTAAGTTAAAAAGAACTAGTCAGAAAGAAGAGAAGAGCTAGCCAGAAAAAGCGCCTAAGCTAGGTCAAGCATGCAAAATTCTCTTTGTCATGATTTGGAAGCTGGTTGGTTGTCTTGAAAAGAAAAAAGCCTGCCACAACACACTGTGGATGATACTGTATTGTCTCGGGGATCTCTTGGATTAGGAATAGAGTCCTGCCCTTCACTCTCGTTCATCTGCATGAGTTAGGGCATGGACCAGAGGGCGATAATTGTGTAGCCCTGGAAAAATGTATGGAAAGCCTGGCTGGCAGAGAATGGTGCTTCTTGAGCAAGGAGACAGCTGGAGAGTGGGTAAGGTTATGTACCCCAGTCTAGCTGCTGAGACACCTCCCGGTTTTAAGCAACTCCACACAAGTCTTCCCTAAACATGCCCGGGTTTTCATTTTATTTCTTTCTTCTCTCGGTTTAGGGGCCACCTGGAAAGGATGGGCTGGATGGACCACCAGGCCTGCCTGGCTCCAAGGTGGGTACTCACAGGGTGGCATTAGATAGAGGATCAAAAAGCAAAGAGCAGAGGAGATGCCTGGTGGTTGAGCTCAGAGACAAGATGCTCCCCCGGGCTTTGGAGCAAGACTTAATTGAAATGGTTGGGTTTGCAAGGGCAGATATAACAGGGAGAACCAGGAAGGCTCTGAAAGTATTAAAATCAATCTGAAGAGAAATTAGTCATGGGGGATTTTTTAAGAGTTTTTAAGAGTTTTAAGAGAGTTAAAGGTCAAGAGAGTCTCCAGTGGGGTCTCCAGTCATTAAAATGGGCTTTTGAAGGGAAGCATCAAAGATGAGATTCTGGGAGCTAGGAATCAAGTCTACGCTTTAAATGCTTCAAGTGAATAAATAAGCAATGGATAATCTTTAATTTTTTAAAGGAATTTCAAATTTGTGCGAATGAGTATTCGGTCTGCATGTGTGCCATGCGTGTGCAGTGCCTTTGAGGTCAGAGGAGTGTGTTGGCCCCTGGTGTCCTGGAACTGGAACTGTGGGCTGACTCCTGGGCTCTGGGAACCTACCCAAGTCCTCTGCAGGAGCAACAACCTCTCCAGCCCTAACAGCAGAGAGTTTGAACAAGTAAACTTTATTCTTAAAGTGCAAGTGTGTATCTGGTCAGGTGTGTCTGTCCACAGCCCTTTGAAAGGCAGCTGTAGAAAAAAACTTAGTGTTTCATTGGAATTCATTGGTATAGACTCAGATTTTTTTCCATAACTAGATGTAGAGTAAGTGTGCTTATAGACACATTTACAGTTATTTTATTTGCTTATCTCTGTTGGACAGAGTGAGGGGTTTCTGAAGGTTGTTTTTATTCCGGTGTGCTGTGGACTTTGACTAGGATCAACCTTCCCCTCTCCCTTCTCCTTGTTACTCCCATCCTTTCCTTCAGCCTTTTGTTTTCTTACATCCTGCATCCACACCCATGATTCCATGTGTCTAGAAAACCTAGGGACCACCAATGAGAGAAAACAAATTTTTTTCTCTCTTATCAGACCCATTTCATTTAATATGGTGTTCTGAAGTTACATCTATTTTTCAGCAAATGTTATGATTTTCATTCTTCTTCATGGTTGAATAAAATCAACACACACATATACATGTTTTTTCATGCTCTTGTTTCTATTCGTCTGCTGACAAGCACCTGGGCTTGTCACAATTATTCCGTAATTTGGCTATTGTGAATGATACAGTATCTCTGCGGTATGTTGACTTAGAATCCCTGGGAAGTCACCATTTATGGCCATTTGTGTAAATATTATTCACTCCTCTCCCTGGCTAACCAAGCACTTCATAGTCTCAAATCAAAAGGTATTGTCATGCTTTCTCTAGCCTAAATCTCTCAGAAGGGAAAGAATGCCATTTGTACTCAGAGCTAGGGAGTATGGGATATAGGAGCTGTCCTGAACTTAGAAAGCCACAAAGAATGGGGGTTCAGAACCACCTCTCTGTATGTGGCCCTGTTCCAGACCCATCCACAGCCAGCAGTGAATAGGTGTGTTCAACTGTGCTCGGTCTCTTTTGTGTTGACTCTGCATTGTTTTCTCACAGGGAGAACCAGGGGACCCTGGGGACCGTGGTGCACCTGGAATGCCCGGACCTCGGGTATGACTCTTCCCATTCATGTTCCATCTGTGCCTCCATTTGGGGTTGTGTGGCTGTATGAGTAACTTACCTCTTCTGGGTGTGTCACTGGAGGTCTCTAAAGAAGCACAAGGACAATTGGAAAAGAGCAAGTTAGCAGGCTTGGCAGATCCATGGGGCTCCGTTGTGATGCCCAGAGTCTGGTGACAGCAGAACCAAGGTCACCTCCTGGGGAAAGGTGCTAGGGGATGGAGTGGTTCTGCTAGAGAGACTTGCTGCATAGGGGAGGCCTCAAGGAACCGTGCAGACCTAGGGAAAAGAAATCACATCTACTGACTTGCTTGCCCTGCTAAGGAGTGAGCAAGGGAACAGGGGCATTTCACTTCCTCCTTCTCTTCCTCCCTATCTTTCTTCCCTCAGTTTTCCCTCCCATGGCTTCTGGTGTCTGGTCTCCTTCATAAATTCAGTGACAGAGAAGTCCAGTTGGGACAGTCTGCAAGTTCATTGCTCACTGGGCTTCCAGCAGACAGAGCAGAGTGAAACTTGGATGGGGAAGAAAGCTACTCAGTCTGTGATTGACAGGATGCTGCCATAGAAGTCGACAGCCCAGTGCCTTGTGCCAATAGCTTTCATTCTGTGCTTGGGTTCCTCACTATGGACTTCCCTGGTGGGCTGCAGGATCCTGCTTCCCAAAGCCCTCAGCTCAAAATCCCAGCACAGATAGGGCTCAGAAAAGTCAACATGGAAGAAGGGAGAACTAGACCCTGGTATGCGTGTACATATACTGCCAACTTTACGTTCCGAGGGACATTTCGCCAGACAGACTGTTAGGAGAACTGCCCCTCCATCTGCTCCACAGTGTTTGTGCTGTTTAAACACAGTGCCTGGCTCTCTCCCCACTCGACATGTCCCCTTCCAACCTACAGTCAGGAATAGTGCGGATCCTACATCAGGGCTTGCAGAATGGAGGGGTTTAATAATTCATCCCAGTTAGAGTACAGAATGGCCTGGACTGTCCAAGTTAGCTGGGACTGACAGGGACTGAGCCAGGGGAAAGCCTGTCAGGTCACCTGCTTGATGGCCCATGACCAAACTCAGTGTGCACTTCAGTGGCGTCCAAGGTTTCCAGCCACACCCACTGGCCTATGCTTCCCCAGCTCTGCCTAGGAAGCAGTTCACACAACAGAGGAGTCCATTCCAGCTGAATCCGACTCAGAACTTGAGTGGTGAACAATTTGCACAGCTCTGTGTAGGGCAGTTTTTATGAGATGTGCTGTAAACGTGGGGGCATTGATGGGTACTGTAGGCTACAGAGTATTCCAGAGTGTGCTAACTCCTTATGTGGGATCATTTCATGGAACCAGAGCTCCAGGCAGAGATGGATGTGTGCACTAAACATGCATTTGTTTTCCACACCCCCACTACCTTCCTTCTCTCCCTTCCTCCCTGCCTTCCATATCCCCTTCCACTTCCCACATCCTTTTCTTTCTCTTCCTCTGATAAGCAGTGCTCCTACTGGCCTTCACTGCCAGTTGATTTGGCACAGCTCCGGGAAGAATCCATATCACTAGCTGGTTCAGTCTTTCACTCTTGTGTCTACTCATCAGAAAACCACGTTTCCTAGGGATGTGTACATTAAAGCATTTATTAAATAGTGTGGCAGACACTAACCACAGGTTTCCTTTGAGGTAACTGGTGATTTTTAAGACATTTGGTTAGGAACTAACCTGCCATGCACCCAGTCTAACAAGGACCTGGTGACAGAGCAGCTGATAGCTGTGAAATGGGACCCTTCTGATCCCATCTCTCATGTCAGCCTGACTGCACACTGCTAGTGGGAGAAACGTCTTAATTCTTGGCTGTGCTATGACAAACGACTTCAGGTAAGGTGACTTAAAAACAACAGAAACTTGTTGCTCACAGTTCTGGAGGCTGGAAAGTTTAAGGTTCAGGTGCAGGCAGGTTTGGAGGCTGCCAGACACTTTCTGCTTTGTAGATGATCCTTATATCTCTAGATGCTACGGTGGCACCTGAGATACAGGATAAGATGGACACTTACAGGATAGCAGGATAGCAGCCCCCATGACAACTACGAGTGAGTGGGCTCACTCAAGCCTTTTTTCTTTCTATTCTTTTTTCTTTTCTTTTCTTTCTTCCTTTCTTTCTTTCTTTTTTTTTTTCTGTAAAAGCACTAATCCCATTCATGACGAATCTACTGAAATGGTTGATCACCTCCCAAGGGCTCCGCCCCATAGTAAGTCACTGAAGAAAGAGTTTGTTTTAATGCAAAAGTAGTTTTGGGGAGAGCATTCAGACCACAGCAGAAATGTCATGGACGAGAAAAATACTGATAAGAGACAGAAACTGGTGTGAACCTGTTCAAGGCAAGCTTTCTCCTAGAAGCCTGGTTACTTAACAGACATAGTCTCCTAGGATGCTCCCCATTGCAACACTTTAGGAGAAGGAGAAATTCAACTCTCCCTTGCTTCTGAGCACACGGGACTGCATGATTTTATAAAAAGACTAAACAATAACCAGGAACCCTGAGTCATAGGCACACATTCTGCCCCAGCTTCTCCTTCATTTCTGAGCCAAGAGTTGGCTCTCAGTCTCCCTGATGTGTCCCTGAGACCTGGAGTTTCCGTGGATCCAAGAGTTCTAGGTATAAGCTTCCTTGTTGATTGGAATTGCAAATACTTAGGTTCATGATGAGCAAACACAGAGCGCATGAACTCTGGACAGGCCAAGAGTTGTTCCTTTTTGGGAAAGCAAAAAGCAGCATGAGGGAGCATGGAAGTCCTATCTGTAAAAATAATGAGCACTTTGGCTTCATGCCTCAGGGGCGCTGGGACTTAATGTTCCTTTTGAGAGAGCCAAGACCCGTGGCTTGCAGTTACTGTGGTCGTGTGGGCCCAGCTGGGGAATGACCGCCATGTTTGAAGGTGTGCATCGATGATGATGGAGTTTTGTTATTCTGTCTACAGGGTGAAGTTGGGGAGCAGGGCCTTGTAGGTCATCCTGGCGAGAAGGTTAGTTTGCTCATATTTTTATTTACTCAGTTCATTCTTGTAATTAATGAATCAGCACCCACCATACATTACATCTTAGGTAAACATTTTCAAGTGTCAAGAGGGATACTGTCTTTTGAAAGTTCATTGCATTTATTTCATGCCTTTGTTTGTTTGCTTAATAGGTTTCAGTATGTCCTATGCATTAGTAGCTAGGTTGAGCATTAGAGCCCAACTAGGAACCGAGAGAATCTAGATGATATAAAGAACAGTTGAACAGTGTAGTGACGGAGACATGCCATCCTGAAGAGGGGGCTGGGGATGTCAGAAAAGATAGTGAAGGAAGGGCTGACATTGGGACTGAGTCCTGAAAAGATGGAGAAGTCAAATACCCAGAGAGGTAGGGTGACAGCTCCTGAGAGAGGCAATGGCCCACACAAGAAGGAGCTTGGTACCCTAAAACATATTTCCAGAATTTTCCCTTGTGTATAGCTCTCCTTTCATGTCACTAAGCATGAACTCTATGAGGGGATGCAAAGCATGCGACCCAGGACCTCTTTCACAGGGCCACCCTCCCACTGGTATCTACTGGTTTTGTTCTCATAGGGGGAAGTTGGCCTTCCCGGTGCTCCAGGCCTCCCGGGACTGCGTGGAGAGAAAGGAGACCAGGCAAGTGTGACTGCCATTTCTCACCAGGGCTATTGTGCTTGTGCTCAAGGAAAGAGCCTCTCCTGGAGTCTAAGACCTTTGGGATGAGGTGGTGATTTTGACTGGGAGAATAGAACTACTCTCGGCATTGAAGGGAGAGAAATACAAGAAGATCAGAGTCTTGAGTCCTGAAGCAAAGATGGAAGGACAGTGGCCGGGAGACACCTCTGGGAAGATTAGGGCATCCTCAGAGGAAAGGAGGGGTGGAGGTACCAAAGTCAGGAGTCAGCCTGCTTGGAGTTGGGCTTCACGGTGGCCGTCCTGCAGATGAGGCGAAGACAGTGATGAGGGGTGGGGAACAGGTGTGATGCAGTTCCCCTTGCTCGAGGTCAGAGCGCCCTTATCCAGAGAGGCAGTGGTTAATATTGTGCTGGGTTCTAATGCTTTTGAATTGTATTTTTTACTTCAGGGAGAAAAAGGTGAACTGGGCCTTCCTGGGCTGAAAGGTGCCCAAGGTGAAAAGGTAGGGGCTGCCTGTTTTCGTCCTCATCACTGATTTTTCTGGGGGGGGGGGGAAGAGAGAGAGAGAGAGAGAGAGAGAGAGAGAGGGGGAGAGTGAGAGATGTTTTACAGGGTGTATTTGTATTGCTGCTATGCATGTTTCTGAGTAATCCTGACACCCGGAAGCACTGTTACACTGTCTTAGGGATCTATCCACACTGAGATCCTTCCCCCCCACCAGAAAGTTTCTGACTAGATAGTTATATTTTGATCTTCGGGGCAGTTTAGAATGTCATTTCTCCACCCAGGACCAGAGTAGGATGCTGCTCCTTTCCAGGAACTTCTGTTCAAACTTGGATTCTCAGAAATGCAATTTCTCTTAGAGACACTCCTTTCCTGAATCCAGAGGCTCGGGGAGACCATAACGCTGTAACTGTTTTGGCTGAATTGCCTGTAGAGGTCTAAAGAATCTGGGTCATCTTAGGTTCCCCTAGAGATTTGGGTAATATTAAATCTAAAATAAAATGCTAAATCAACACTGCCCCCTTCTGACTGGGCTATGCAAGTCCTTGCCTCAGCCTTGCCTTCCACTGATACATTCCCACCCCAGCCCTTTTGTGCTGCAGATCGAACCTTGGAATCGGGGAATAGTAATTCTTGCTTGTCAAGGGCAACTGAGAGCTGAAGACACAGAGACACGGGATTGGAATCCAGACCTATCTATGTCAAACTGATCTCACACCCATGGCTTTTCTGAAGTCAAGCCTCTCACTCAGGTCTCCCTCCTGCAACACGCCCTGCTGGCAACCGTTCTTCCTGTACAGCTCTGGGATGGGCAAGGAGACTGTTGCCAAGGCATCCTGAGTCCCCTGCTTTAGACACATCTTCCCTTTGCACCTGTTTGTGTGTTTTTCCACACATCTCCCCTCCACTAGGAGGCGCTGGGTCTAGATCTCTTGACTTTGTTAATAGCAGGATGACAGGGGACATGATCAACTCGAGAGCTCTAGAACACAGGCTTGTCCTGTCAGGAAGGAGACAGAGTCACCCTGTGATTCTCGTGGCAGTGCTTCTGGAACTTCTGCACTATCTGTCCAAGTGAAAACCTGGTTCTGAGTGTGAAACTGGGTGCTTGATTGGCTGCTCGCCTTTGCTTGTGCAACGGGACTGAGGCTTCTGTGTCTCAATGTCTTTATTTTTGAAATGGGGAGGAAATCACGTTAGCAATAATAAATCAGACCTAAAGACAAACACCACATGCTACCTCTCATCTGTGGTATCTAGATTTTATAAAATGTCTATGTATATGACACATATATGATGATGTGAATGTATATGTTCCATTAAAGTGTGTAATTTGGATGAGGAAGGGCATCATCAGGAGGGTAGATGGTGCAGGATCGGAGGACATCACGTATATTTATACAGTGCCATCATGAAACCTATCATTTTGTATACATGAAAAGCTAAAAATATACCTTATGGACCTATTTTCAGAGATAAATCAAGTTCACAAACATGAGATACATAATTTAGAATGTTCTTTGTAACAGAAGAAACAAGCAAAAGGAACCCTATCTTTTTAGTGCTTATGGATATGGTAGATTTAGGTTCCAAGCTCAGCGGAGTTGGCTCCCAAACTTATGCTATGAACAATAAAAATCCTAATATATGTAGGCATATGAGAGCAGTCTGCCTCTTCTGAGAGGGTGGTACAGCTCTGGGGTGTCTCTAAGGGGACGAGACTTCAGCGTGGCCCTTGAGCTAAAGTACATGTGCGGGAGCATTTGCGGTAACGGGTCAAACACTGGCATTGCTGGCAGCAGTAGAAGCAAATTCATTACCCTCATTATTATTCAAAATGCTGACAGGGCATATGGAGCTTCAATATCCTGTAGATATACAGGTCAGTCTAGATGCTTTAAAACACGTCTGAAATAGTTTATGAGTAGAGTGTATGTATGTATCTGTCTGTCTGTCCCCCAAGCCCTACCCCACCTAACTATAATCTACTAAAGTCTGTGTAGGGAGAGCAATTCTGTTTTCTGGAGGGGAAGGCATGCTATTATAGACATCATGGCATAAGCAGAATTGACAGAATTAAGATCGCGTTTTATTATCTTCCTTCATTTCTTCTAGGGTGAGGCTGGTCCTGCAGGCCCCCCTGGCTTACCTGGAAGTGTAAGTTACCCTTCTCTGTATTCTCAAGGCCGAAGGCAGTGGGGGATTCCCTCTACGCCCATACTCGTGCATGTGTGTACGAGCACACACCACACACACACACACACACACACACACACACACACACACACACACCGGTAATTATTAATATGCCATCATTAGTTCACCATTAACTCGGCCTACTCCTAGCGCTTCCTTATTTATTCACTTTTTTCAGCAGAAGCACAGTTACTGTTTATCAGAATATATCATATTCTTGAGAGTCCACATCCACCTGCCAGCAGGGAAACTGAGATCCGGAGCCAAGAAGTCATTTGCTCAGGGTGGAACCACAGTTTCATAAGCCAAGCCTAGGACTCCTCTCCCACCGCGTTCTCAGGGTCTGGAGACAGGCTATCTAATAACACCCTTAGCTTTGCAGTTGGTGGCCTGTTAATATATTCCAATAGATTTTTACCTGAGAGTGAGTGGAGTGTTAGATCAGGAGCAATGGTGAACGTGAGAGGCTGTGAATGGAGGAGAGATCCCGAGATAGTATGATTCCGTATTGACAGCATTGCCCTTTTCCCTGATCCAAAAGGAGTAGTCAGAACTACGTACTTAGCATAGATGCAGCTTTTGTCTGGCATCTTTATTTTATAATAATAAATATAACATGGCCAATTTATTATCAGTTACCTTATTCCCAAGAGTTCTGCAATGGGCCTAGTTTTGGAATTATTTTGATTTCAATATTTCCTCTGCTTCTTGTGGTTCTGTTTGGGCAGTTGACAGAGACATTGCATGTGACTGTGTTTGCCAGTCCTGACAGAACTGGAGATAAATTCCCCTCTGGCTGAAACCGGATTTTAGTCTTTTCCTTCTACCCGTGCCAGTTTCCTGGGGAAAACAAAATTCCTTGAGGGGTTCACTCAATGTCTTTCTAGAATATACTCTCTCCTGCCACAGTGGCTACATTTATCTAAAAACTGTGTGTGCATTGTAGTGTTGCTTATGATGATGACAGAATAACCTCCATGGTTGTAACATAGTAAGTCCTGGACTTCCCATATCACAAAATCCAATTCTATACAGTACACACATAATCACTCACAGACGCATAGGCACGCATATCCTGACATACGCACACTTACACAGCCCCGCAGACATATAAACGCACTCATATTACTCATGCGCACACATACCCACACTCGGCCGTCTTGCGATTTTATGGATGAACACACTAAATAGAACAAGCTAAGCAGGAAAGATCAGTTTGTGAATCATTGGTTGCCGAAGGATTGACAACAAAGGCTTCCATCCTCTACACAAATGTCAGTTTCTGGCCCTCCATTGCCTTCTAGCTCAGATGCTTTCCGGAAGCTCATGCCTCGGTCCTTCAGTTTCCTTAAAAACATGGCAGAGGCATATCTCCACGTGCCAATGGCCGGTGAAATTATCCCTTGGTGCATGGGAGCCGCTACCAATCATGTACTTAGATTTACTAGCCATATACTTCTTGCAATTAATGATGTATTTCCACGTGGGCTCTAACGTGTGAAACACAACAGTGGTTTAACTGGGAGGAGTCTGGATCTAGAGACTTGAAGGCCAAGAGTGGAAGCTATGTTTTACCTTTTGTGGTGGATCTTTGTGTTTCTTTGCTTACTTAATAAGTCCCTTGGGGTTTGGCTCTGGGCCAACCCCTGGCACGTCTCAGGCCTCACAGAGCACTTACAAGCTCCTAGAGGAAGGAAATTGAGGTGTATAAATAAGAAAAGCAGTCATGTTATCCCTATTTGTTGATGATGTATTTTACATAAAACATGCTAAAGCTTCCTCCAGAAGCTTCTAGAAATGATTGACACTCTCAGTAAAGCGGCAGAATACAAAATCAAGTTAGAAAAACCAGTAGCTTTTCCATTTATTGGTATCAAACATGCTAAGAGAGAGGTCACAGCCATGCTCCACTCACAGTGGTCTGAAATGATACCCAGGAATAAACCTGACCATGGTGATGATGAACTTCTACAGTGAAAACTTTAAACATTTGAAGAAAGAGACGGAGGAAGACACTAGAACACAAAACATCTCCTCTGCTCATGAACTCATAGAATTAATATGGTTGGATCATCTACCAATTAGCAGATTCAGTGCAATCCCATTTAAAAAATTACCATGACTGTCTTCACAGAAATAGAATAGGAATCCTAAAATTCAGATGGACACCCAGAAGGCCCCAGACAGCCGAAGAGACCCTGAGCAAAAATGAAGAATGCTGGAGGGATCACCGTTCCAATCTCCTGCTATATTACAGAGCTATAGTCATACAAACAGCATGTCACCGAGTCAGACAGGTAGATGAGTGGGACAGACAGAAGCGCCAATGGTGGGAATGCACTCTAATCACAGTTGCAAAAGAGTGCTACCTGAGAACATCCAGTACAGTTGGTGGACATATTAAGAGGACCCAACGGCCTCTTAATTATATTACTTATATAATTAATTATATGAATTATATTGGAGTACTAGAGGAGAAAGGGGCATTTATGGGGACAATCAGAGGAGTCCTGAAGACTGGGCCCAAGTTAAAAGAGGAACAGTGTTTCAGGCCCAAGGAATCGTATCTGTGAAAGCATTGAGGGTAGACAGTGCATGGACTCAGTGTTGTCTGGATGGTGGTGAAGCTGGGGAGTCACTGAAGTCATGACAGTCTCCACTGGCCTCTCCACGAGCCAGAGACTGGGCCTCCTCACTAGTCTCCTCTTTACCCTGTCCCTGGCTAGCACAGCTCAGGTGTTAATACTGGAAAAGGATGCAGTGACCTGGATTCAGTGTCCTTGGTGCCTTCTAGTTGTCTGCGTGGAGTGTTCCATTTTGGCTTTCAGGGGGTGTTTATCCCCCTCTTACTGGTGAGGGCAGAGATGCTCAAAGATCATATCCAGAGTCATAGAAGGGTTGGGACCATAGGGCTTTTAAATCACACCCCTCATTAATGTATGATCACACATGCAGGTCATTTAAACAAAGCTGGCTCTGTTGGGCAAATTCAATGAAAATAAAAAACACGGGCAAAGCTGGACACACATAGAATCCTACTACCTGGTGGGTAAACACGGGAGGCTCAGGAGTCCAAGGTCATTCTTGGCTATTTAGAAAGTTTGATGCCACCTTAGACTATGTGAGATTCTGCCTCAAGTATATAAACCCAAAAAAGATAACTTTTCTTTGGTGAGGGTAGCCACTAGTAGGCTGTCTATGCCCCAGTGGACAACTCCACACCACGTATCGATGGGTAGCACTAGTGATACTCAGTGGGCCGTTCAATTAAGAGGACATGGAACTGGGAGGGGGGAGTGGGAAACGGATATGATCAAGGTTGATCAAGGTACATGGCATACATGTATACAGTTTTCGAGAACTATATAAAAAAATACTGACAACTCTTCTCCCCCTCCCACCCAGAAAAGACAAATATAAAAAAGGCACTTCAAGGCTGTGCTCTTTGACTTGATAAATCTCTGAGAGGCAGCAAGGTTTTGACAAATGAAATGGAAGACTCCTTTGGTTCTGAGCATTCTAACGTGTGTGGTTTCCTTTCCAGCCATCGGTGTTCACACCACACCCTAGGATGCCAGTAAGTAGCCATGGGCCCTGGATGCAGCCTGTTGCCCCAGCTCATCTGGTGATGCTGCGGGGCATGGGCGAGGGGTGGCCTTGGCAGTTCTGTGGATTTGATTCTCAGTCCTTCATGCTGGTTAGGCAGCATCAGGATTTCTAGAACTTCCCGGCAAGAATAGGGATAAATTACTACAAGAAACTGGTTCTGATGGCAGGCAGACCTTCTCGGGACATAATTCGGTGGTCAAGAGCATAGACCATACTCTCTTTGTCTAGAGTCCTTTTTTGCTGTGGCCAGAACTGCCAGTAGCTTTGAGGCTAGAAATAACGGAGCTGCCAGAATATTCTATGCCAATGTTGGCCATGAAGAGACCAGCGATGGGAATACTTCAAACCCTTAGTCCCCTGAAGTTGGTTACTCCATAGAGATAATTTCCAGAATATTCCATTCAGACTGCTTGCAGGGTAGAGTTTCAGTGTCTTCCTGCAGACACTGAGACATTTAACAGAAGGATGAAAATCAGCTCCATAGCCTGCAGATTGAAGGCTCTTTTTCTCCTCCTTCTATGAAGATTTCTGTAAAAGTATTTTCAGAATCTCTTTATGCTGCTAGCAGCATGGAGACCAGGAAATGTTATATTTGGCACCACCACTAGCAGCAGCAGGAACAGCTGCCCACCCCTCCTCGTTTCAAGACAGGGTCTCACCCTGTAACCTTGATTAATCTGTAACTCATTGTGTAGAACAGGGTGGCTTTAAGTGCTGAGATCTTCCTGCCTTTGCCTCCTGAGTGCTTGGATGAAAGGCCACCATGCCTGGTTCCTCTCCTCTTTTTGTGGATCTTCTCTCATTGTGATACGAACTGTGTTTCACAACACACGACAGCTAAGTGGGAAGACCCGTGGTCCACCAATGCTGTCTCCATTTCTCCAATAAGTCGATGCGACTTCAAAGACACAGATCTTGCATATAATAGAAAGACACGTGGCAGGGAGACACTGAGTCCGATGGTGAAGTCATGGAAGGATGAGAAAGGACATTAAGCTTGAACATGAGACAGGAAAGAAGTGCGGGGGTGGGGGCATCTCCATGCTGCCTGGATTTCAGGAGTTGTCAGATGTCTGTCAGCCATAGCAGGTGCCTTTTGTGATGTGTTTGAAGGCTAATCTCCTCCCATACACAGGCAGGGCACCCGTCTCACCACCTCCTCTCCTGCACACCTCTACCATCTATTAATTGAATACCTGATTCCGAACCTTCCCATTTCCCCCAAACTGGCCACATCCTTTTATTAAGCATCTTTAGAGTCAGGTGTCTCTTCCCCGGAGTCTGCTAAGGTTTCAACTCTACACTTGATGGTCTGACCCTCTGACACAGAAGAACCATCCATGGGTACAATTCAGAGCGAGGTCTTTCAAAGCCAATCTCTTTCTTGGAGAGAGATATGCTGGGCAGGTTCAGTTCTTGACAGACAGAAAAAGTGAGGACACCTTTGCCTCAAAATGCAGAAGAAATATTTTTCTTTAGATGTCATTTCCTTACTTTGAGCCAAAGAGTGGCTACTAACTTCATTAAAAGTACACATTCTAAAGGAAGGACACCTACTGAGACTCAAAAGTGGGAGACAGCCAGCACACTCAGCCCTGTTCTCCTTACTTGCTCTTCCAGTGGAATAGTCTAGAAATTGTCTCTACGGAGCAACTATAAACTAGCTTTCATCCCAGGGCACAGTTTGGGGCTCTGTTGCCCCGAAGAAGAGACTCTTGTTCTTAGAACTGAGCAGAGAGTCAGGATCTCTGAACAATGGGAAAGAGAGAGGCTCCCGGTCAAAGACCCAACCAACAGGAAGAGCTTTGGATGTGGTCACCATGGAGGGAGTTCTTGTGTCGATGCTGCAGGGTGGAGCCAGTGTGCTGGAAGCACTGAGGGGGAGGTCATAATCAAGTCACCTGTACCATGTGCTTCTAACCAACAGGGAGAGCAAGGGCCAAAAGGAGAAAAGGGTGACCCTGGTAACCCTGGCACCACGGTGAGTAGCTACACCCCCAGATACTGCTTACCATTCCCCAAGTTACCTGAAGACCAGAAATTCAGGCCTGGCTGGCTCTAGGTCTGCACCCCATGGGCCATTCTACACCCTGCAGGAATTAGTAAACTGAGTATATCCTGTTTTAGTCCTCGGGACTTTGATATTCTGGCTTCTTTAGACCTCAAATGACAACCATTGCATGGCCCCCCACAAAGCCCCATCTGCCCAGGACAAGGGTACTGAGCTAGTTCACGAGCACAGTTTTCTCTTATTGCAGGGACCACAGGGCCGACCCGGAGAAATGGGCCCTCGGGGACCTGCTGGACCTCCGGTAAGAGAGTCCTTTCTCCATCTGTTAGTTCCTGGGCCATGCTGCCCCTGGTCATGTGTTCCTTCCTGCCTTACCCACCAGCCCTCTTACTAGACGTTTTGGGAATTCTTATTAGGGTGGGTATTTTGGAGACATGTTTGTGCTAATCCCCAGGATTAAGGGTCTCAATACCTTACAGAGTTGTTCCCCAGAGCAACAACCTGGACCAGGCTCTGGGATGCTGGTTGTCCCTGTCCTTCTACTAAAGGGCTGCTGTGGCTGAGGGAAGCTCCCTTAGACTCAGTATTCCTAAGAGAGGTTGCCCGGAAGCAAGATTCCTCTCAGTGTCCAGTGTATTTTTCAGATGCAGGGAAATGGCTTGTCCCCCCCAGCCATTGACAGGCAGGTGGGTTTAGAAAATGCCTAGTACATATTAACAACTTTCTTTTTTTTGGTATGGTTTGGGCTGAGAGGCTATTTCCTGACAATTGTTCAGTTATTTGGGGGAGGGGAAAAGGGACCCTATATGGTTTTGAACTCCCGAGGTCAGGGCTGTCTAACTCTGTGTACTTCATTTACATAATGGGTCACTGGTGGTAAATAGATGTCTCTAGGGGCAGCGTTGGAGATGAGCTGGGCCAGCGAATGGTGACTTTGCCGCACTTGATAGAACCCGTTTTCTGTTCTTTGTTCTGATGAGTCACTTTTGAGCAGCAGGCTAGCACTACCTGCGATGCGGCCTCTGATCCACCTTCTTTTAACTTCCCTGTGCAGGGAGCCAAGGGCCATGATGGTGCACATGGGGCACCTGGAGCAGCTGGAAGCCCTGTGAGTCCTTCTGTCTTGCCTTACTCCTGGGGACTTAAGAAGGGGCCCCAGATGAGCGTCTTTTCTCTGGCTCACTGTTCTGGACCGACTCGGATGTGACGAAGGAAGAAAATCCCACACTGGTGGGGCAGTTCAGACATGGGAGGAGGGCATTTGAACCTGAAGCCAAATGGGAGCTGTTCTGATCTGGTCTACACACAGTGTTCTTATCAGGCCTGGACATTGTCCCATGTCCAACCCTGAGACAGATTCCCTCCTATACATACATGGATGGTACAAAGGCACAGTCCCAGTGCAAGCCCGTGCTGTACCTACATGCCCACAAGTGAAAAAAATTCTTCAGTGCACATAGAGGACACTCAAAGGACCTTCAGTACACAAAGAGGACCACTCCCAGATGTTTGTCATTCTGAGAATTGTGCCACATAGATACACTCTAAAACTAAAGTCCAAGTTATACACATTATCTCTCTGTCTCTCTATTTCTTTTTCTTTTTATGTGTGTCTCTGTACCTCTATCTCACTCTGTTTCTTCAATGCCTTTCTCTCTCTCTCTCTCTCTCTCTCTCTCTCTCTCTCTCTCTCTCACACACACACACACACACACACACACACACAGAGAGAGAGAGAGAGAGACCCTCAAACACAAAGCAGCAGTCAAGGCATTGTACAGATAGACACTTCTCTGTAGGCACCCACTGAACTCTGAGGTTACTGCTCCTAGCTTTCCCAACCACATCCACAGATTAGATGTGCTGAGTCTCAGAGAGGCAGGCACTCTTCACTAGGACTGCATGGAGCTGTGCTGTGTAGCCAAAGTCCCAGAGCTTAGATGTCACCATAATACTAGATGATGGCAGAGCCAGACTGACCTGACCAATTAGCCAAACAAAGCATCTAGTGTCCAGTCTGGTCTGGTGACCACAGACCAAATGTCCTGGCCAGAACATCATTATATGATCTGGTATTCTGTGACTGTGGCTTAGAGGAGGTGGGGCCAGTCATGAATAGTGGCTAGTGTGGATGACACAGAAAGAGAGAGATGGGTTTTTCTTGCAGCAAGGCCAGCCTGCCTTGTGCTCAGATAGGTAGAGTGGGTTTGGGTAAGGAGGCTAGGAATGTGCCCTGTGAGTTCTGATTGACACACATGGCCTATGATAGTGGACAACACTGGAGACCCTAAGCAATCTCGAGTCCTTTGAGTATGCCTTAGTTCCCATTCTACGACACTGACCCTCCGACATGACCTCAGCCACACCCCCTCTCAGAGTCGCGACCCAGGTGTCAAGTTCTAATCAAAGTCCACTTCAGGAAACAGTCACCCTGATATCATCCAGTCCAGCACACACGTGCAGTGTGCACACGGGCTCACACACACGCACTCACACTCACTCGTCCACTCCCTCCTCAGATGCTTTTGCTCTGTGGATGGTGCCAGCATCTTCAGCATGGTGTTGTATTCTTCAGCCTTCTCAGGCTCACACAGACCTGTGATCACCTGTGACCCAGTGGCCCATCACAAGCCCTCTCCACCCCCCACCCCCAAAGTCCCTTTCTGTCCAACTCATGGCGAGCCACTGCTCAGCCTGTCACCGATCCTATTTGTCCTGCAGGGTTTGTCCAGTGTCCTTCAACACCTCAGTGTGCCAGGGGCCTCTTCTTCATAACTCACCTCAGAACAGCTCCCTATGCATAGGGTCAAGGCTGGTGGTCACCTAAACTTCTTAGGCACGCTGGGTGGCTTTCTTCTCTGCCCACCCCTGGCATCTATACTGCCTGCCCCGTGCCATCACCTGGTTTGAGGAACCGTGAGAGTCTTCCTGTCTCTGGTTCACTCTACCTCCAAGCCCATTCACTTGACTCTCACCAGTGGGGATACTGTAGTCTCAATGAAGGACAGTTTTAACCTCTGTGATAGTCTGGAGGTTGTTCCCGCAGCTGAGGGGGAACTGAGTTGTACGAGACATTTATGGATAGTGGCCGGGGTCGGTTATTAGTAGCCAATACATTTGGCTTTTCTCAATTGTTCCATTTCTGATTAGGGTGCTCCAGGACCTGCAGGACCCCCTGGTGTCAGTGGTCCCCCAGGAAGTTTGGTGAGTATGGCAAAGAGAGGAAGGGTGTTGTAGTGAGTCATGACCCTGCAGGGCCTGTCATGGTTCACTTTCTTATCCTCCTTCCCATTCACATAGAGGTGTGGGCAGCACGGTCTCACAGGAGGGTACATCAGTGTACTAACGAGGGCTACCCAGAACATTACCAACCCAAGGTTCTAGGTAGCACTTCAGCTCCCTAGGTGATAGATGGATTTGGTGAGGGCCGAGAGGCTGTACACTTCACTGATGCTGGAATCAACATCACCGTTTGCCTTCAAAGAAATCCGTGAACCCAAAGAAGTCAGAGGTCCCTGATGGCTGTTAGATACCTGGATTCTCACCCAGCTCTCTCAACAGCTGACATTAAGACCTCGGTCAATCATCCCTAATCTCTTTCATCTGAAGAAACAAGGCAGGGTTAGACCAGGTTAGACAGGATTAGATGTGTCATCTTTCAGGTCTCAGATCAGCTGCTGAAATTCCTCCCCTCCCTCTCCCAGATGGCGATCCAAGATGCCTCTTAATGGGCTAGTATTATGATTCAATGCAAGCATTGATTTAGACTTTAATGATTTTCAGTAAATTATACAGTGGCATCTGGTCACACGCCACAGGGAATCTATCCTCTTGCATTAGATTAGTCCAGGTTTGTTCCCTAAACCTTCCCAGGTAGCTGTGACTCAGAGGACAGATGCATGACACTTAGAATCTTAGTGCACAACATGTTAGTCTGTTTCATCCACACAGCAAGCCTCTTAGGGGGACATCGTCCCTGACCTGCTTTATGCTAGAGGAAACGGAGGCAGGAGATGTGGCATGGGCTAAGTGGTTGGAGTGGCTCTTTTCTGTATAGTCTTTGCTTTCCCACCGTACATACATAGTCAATACTTTCCTGGCTTTTGGGGAGCACTGTACCCAGTCATCCACAGGAAAGGGATAGGATTGTCTCCTGAAGTAGCTCCGGGGTGATGGGAGAAGAAACAGCCCAACTCTTTAAATATATGTGTACATATACATATATGTATGTATGATATTTTGTGTATGTATGTATATATGATATTTTGTGTATGTATGGCCGTTTGACTTCAACACACTGTGTACCACTGTGTGCTGGTGCCTGAGGAGGTCAGAAAGGGGCTTCAGATAGCCCCCAAAAATGGAATACGGAGCTGTAAACTACTGTGTAGGTGCTGGGAATTGAACCCAAGTCCGCTGGAAAAGAAGCCAGTCCTCTTCACCCCTGACCCATCTCCCTAGCTCCAGTGATCTCATGCTTCGCCCCAAGGGGAGGTAGCTCTGCAGAGTGTCCTGGGCGGGTTCCAGAGTCCTCAGGAGGACTGAGCTCCAGTGTCTCGGTGACTGGCTAACTGTTTCCTCATTGCCATATGTCCCCACTGGTGTGTTCATAGAATGTTTATCTGCGAGGTGCTGGGGGAGAACCCACCGACACTGGAAGGGTTGGTCTCTGACACAAAATCAGGTTCTTTTTTTGGTTTGGTCTGTCCTCACCTGATCTGCCTACTCAAAGACTAAGGGATTAATGGGCAAGCACTGGGCAGACCATATCTATTCTCAAAGTTTTCATGTACAAGCTCTACAGCCAGACTTAGGCAAGGAGATGGGCATTAGTGAGTTTAAAACAGGATGGGAATCATGAGCAGAAGTGAAAGGGGGCCTGGTGACATACCCCAAGGGCTACTGTCCTTTAAACACTGACCGTGTGAACACCTTCCTTTTTCCAGGGTCCCCCTGGCCTCAGAGGCACCCCTGGGAAAGACGGGGCGCGTGGGGAGAAGGTAAGAGCCATGCAGACTGCAGAAAGGCGTTGTTGTTGAAGGCTTCACTTGGGCAGCAGTCAAGGTGCTCACGTTGCTCAGGGCTGTCCTGGGGCCCAGGCACAGGAGGGACTGTGTGAGAGAGACAGGGGGATGGGACATTTCACCCTTCTCACTGTCACAGCTCGTCCTGGGGTCAGAGTAGTGTCCCCCTTGCAGATGCCAGCAGAACTCCGAGGGACATTGTATGTCCTTTATCTCATAGCTGGTGAGCAGCCGAACTGGATCTCACTGTACATCCCACATTCACTGAGCACCATGGTTGCCAGGGAACCCTCCCAAGCCTGGGAAAGCATTTTGTGTCTTAGAGAGAAGGAAACAAGATCCTGCTTGCTATCATCGGAAATTGCCTCCAGGTCCGGGAGGAGCAAGACACCCTCTGCTGTCCTGCTGCTCATTGCTCTGACATGACCATGGGCTTCGGGAAGGTGCTCATGTCTTAGCAATGCTCATCAGTGCCCAAGGGAGATAGAGAGTTCTAGACCCACTAAAGGCTGGTTCAGTGTCCCGGTTGTGTGACTCTAAACGAGGGTGACAACAGTGATTATCAGTAGGGACAGTCTCACCTCCTCCGGACTTTTGGTTGTCCTCCCACTAGGGGGAGGGGTGCGGTCAGCATAGTATATACAGAACAGGATTCTGTCTTAACTATCACAGAGCACAGTGAAGGATGCTGTCTGTCCTCAACCCTCTCAACATGCACGATTCAGGAATCCTCGGTGTCAGCAGGACCAAGGCTGAGAAACCATCACTAGAAAATGGCATCCTCATTGCGTTGTGTTTGAATTTGCTCTGCTGTAAAATGAGGAGGATAGTAGAAACTTGGGGTCCAAGCTTATGGACTTCACTCCAAGGACTGGGGCTAGGGGCATGGCCTTGAGAGAGGACTTGGGACAAGAACATGGTGGTGTGTCTTGCTCCCTTTGCACATAAGGTGTCCTTCCTCCAGATGTCCCGTCTACAGACGTCTACACAGTCGCCCAAATACGGCTTGTATTTTAGATAGGGTCTCACCCTGTGGCTCGTGCTAGGCTTGAACTCACTCTACAGCTCGGGCTAGCCTCTAACCCATGGTGACCCCTTGCCTCAGACTCCCAAGTGCCAGGATTAAAGGAGAGAGCTTCTCCAAGTTCATCAAATTGATCCCTTCTAGATGTTTCTCCTGGAAACTGTTAAAGACATGATTGTTTTTTTTTAACTATCTTTTTTTTGTTTTTTGTTTTTGCTGAAACTTTAACAAGAGTGAGTGTATTTTTTTTTATTTTAGCAAAAGATTTGGTTTTGAAATAAAAATTTTAGGAAGAAAAAATATTCTCGAGGAAAGAGCGAACTGTAGAAAATATCTTTGACTTGTGGTCTGTTGATCACAACCTTAATAATAAGCCCTGGTGGTGCAGGTACAATTTGTGTGTGTGTGTGTGTGTGTGTGTGTGTGTGTGTGTGTGTGTGT